GCCATTAAACATCTGACTTCAGCTCAAGTCATGATATGGTTTGTGAGCTCGAGCACCACTTCGGATGAGCCCCCCCCTTCTTTCTCTGCCCCTCCTGGGATTATCTCTCTCTCTCTTTCTCTCCCTGTCCCTCACTCACTAGTGCTGTCCCTCACTCTCTCTCTCAAAAAAATATAAAAATTAAAATTAAAAACTAAATGCCTGTTTTTAAAAATAAAAATAAATAAGAGTAAGGCACACAAAAAACCTATACCCAGGTGTTTATAGCAGCTTTATTCAAAATTATCAAATAGCCAAAATGTCCTTCAGCAGGGGAATGGATAAACAATCGTACATCCAGACTGTGGAATATTACTCAGTGCTAAAAGGAAATGAACTAGCAAGATATGGAAAAAACATGAAGAAACTTAAATCTTATCATTAAGTGAAAGAAGCCACTCTGGAAAGGTTACATACTGTATGATTCCAACCACATGACATTCTGGAAAAGGCAAAACTGTGGAGACAGTAAGAAGACCATTCCTTGCCAAGGGTTAGAGGGAAGAGATGGATATTATAGGCAGAACACAGAGGATTTTTAGGGCAGTGAAGGAACCCCATGATCCTTTAATGGTAGATCTATGTTCTTAAACATTTGCAAAAACCATAGAAGGTACACCATCACCACAACCCTAACGCAAGCCATGGACTTTGGGGAATGATGTGTCAATGTAGATGCTTCAGCTGTATCTGTGTGTGGCACCCTATTATCAGATTTTGATAGTGGAGGAGGCTGTGTGTATGTGGGCAAGAGGGTATATAGGAAATCTCTGCACTTCTTATTTAATTTTGCTGTGAATCTAAAACTGCTCTATAAATGAAGTCTATTTAAAAGAGAAAAAATGAGGGCACCTGGGTGGCCCAGTGAGTTAGGCGTCCAACCTTGGCTTAGGTCATGATCTCACAGTTCACAGTTTATAGTTTGTGAGTTCGAGTCCTGAATCCCATCAGGGAGCCCACTTTGGATCTTCTGTACCCCCCTTCCCCTCCCTCTCAAAAATAAATAAAAGGGAAAAAAATGAGTAAAGAACTTGAATAGACATTTCTCAAAAAATATATATAGAAATGGTCAGTAAGCACATGAAAGAAACTCAATATTTTTTGTAGTTTATTCATTTTTGAGACAGAGAAAGACAGAACACAAATGGGGGAGGGGCAGAGAGAGAGGGAGACAGAATCTGAAACAGGCTCCAGGCTCTGCACTGTCAGCATAGACGCGGAACTCGAACCCACGAACTGTGGGATCATGACCTGAGCAGAAGTCAGACGCTTAACCGACAGAGCCACCCAGGCGCCCCAAGAAACCCAATATTATTAATCATTAGGGAATTGCAAATCAAAATCACAATGAGATATAATGCCCACTAGAATGGCTACAATAAAGATGGATATGCCTGTGAAATATACATACAAAATGTGATATATACATACAAAATATTACTAGGCCTTTGAAAAACAAGAGAAATCCTGTCACAAGCTATAACATGGATGACCTTTGAAGATACTATGCTAGGTGAAATAAATGCCAATCACAAAAAGATGAATATTTCATGATTCCACTTATATGAGGTATCTAAAGTAGTCAAATTCATAGAGACACTACAATGGTCTCTATGGGGTACAGGGAGGGGGAGAGGGAAATGGAGCTATTATTTAGTGGGTATAGAATTTCAGTTTTGCAAGACGAAGAAGTTCTAGAAATCTGTTTCACAACAATGTGAATATACTTTGCACTTCTAAATGGTACACTCAAAAATGATTAAGATGGTAAATTTCATGTTGTATTTTTTAACCACAATTAAAAAGAAAAAAATTTAAAGACATAATAACAGTGTTGGCGAGGATGTGGAGAAATTGGAACTCTTACACATGGCTGGTGGGGATGTAAGATGGTGCACTGCTATGGCATTTCCTGAACACGTGAAACATGGGAGTTATCATATGACCCAGCAATTCCATTCCTAGGTATACAAATGAACCGAGAAATGAACATGTATGTCTATGTAGAAATGTGGACACATATTTTCATAGCAGCATTATTCATAATAGCCTCAAAAAGGGAAACAACCCAAATGTCCATCAACCGATGAAAGGATAAGTAAAATGTGGTATGTGTGAGCAGAATGGCACAGTGAGAGTGAGCTTGGGCCATAACCCAGAGGTCAGCAGATTGAAATAAAATGGGGTGTATCCTGTTGGTGGGAATGTAAACTGGTGCAACCGCTCTGGAAAACAGTGTAGAGGTTCCTCAAAATATTAACAATAGAACTCCCCTGTGACCCAGCAATAGCACTGTTAGGAATTTGCACAAAGGATACAGGAGTGCTGATGCATAGGGGCACATGGACCCCAATGTTCATAGCAGCACTTTCAACAATAGCCAAATCATGGAAATAGCCTAAACGTCCATCGACTGATAAATGGATCAAGAAGATGTGGTGGGGTTTTTAAAAATATTTTTAATGTTTTTTATTTATTTCTGAAAGAGAGAGAGAGAGCTTGAGCAAGGGAGGGTCAGAGAGAGAAGGAGACACAGAATCCAAAGCAGGCTCTAGGCTCTGAGCTAGCTGTCAGCACAGAGCCAGACGCAGGGCTTGAACCCATGAACCGTGAGATCATGACCTGAGCTGAAGTCGGACGCCCAACTGACTGAGCCACCCAGGCGCCCCAAGATGTGGTTTATATATACAAAGGAATACTACATGGCAATGAGAAAGAATGAAATCTGGCCATTTGCAGCAGTGTGGATAGAACTCGAGGGTATTATGCTAAGTGAAATAAGCCAGGCAGAGAAAGACAGATACCATATGTTTTCACTCATATGTGGAGCTTGAGAAACTTAACAGAGGACCAGAGCAGAGGGGAAAGGAAAAAAATAGTTGAGGAGAGGGAGGGAGGCCAACCATAAGAGACTCTTATGTACTGAGAACAAACTGAGGGTTGATGGGTTTGGGGGAGAGGGGAAAATGGGTGATGGGCATGGAGGAGGGCATTTGTTGGGATGAGCACTGGGCGTTATATGGAAACCAACTTGACAATAAACTATATTTTAAAAAATAATAAAATAAAATGGAGTGTATCCATACCATGGAACATTTTTTGACCATAAAAAAAAAAAATGAAGCACTGCTACATGTGATAGTATTCTGAAAACATTAATCTAAGCAAAAAAAACCACATATTATATGATTCCATTTATATGTCATGCCCAGAGTAGGTAAATCTATAGAGACAGAAAGCAGATTCGTGGTTGACAGGGGATGGGGAGGAAGGAGAAAAGATGAATTACTAACAGGTATGGGGTTTCTTTTTGAGATGATAAAAATGTTCTGGATGGGTAACTGGGTGGTTCAGTTACTTAAGTGTTGGACGCTTGATTTCAGCTCAGGTCATACATAACCTCACGGTTTGTGAGCAGTGCAGAGTCTGCTTGTGATTCTCTCTGCCCCTTCCCTGCTCATGCTTTTTCTCTCTCTCTCAAAATAAATAAATAAACTTTAAAAAAAACATTCTGGAATTAACTGGTAGTGATGTTTGTACATTTTGTTAATATATTAAAAACCACTGAAATGTAAATTTTAAAAGGGTGAGTTTATGGTGTGTGAATTATATCTTAATTTTCAAAAAAAAGGTTATCAAGTAAAAAAGAAATACATGGAACACACGGATACAGGGAGAGTCACCAGGAAGATAATATTCTTGAATGTGACTATATTTGTACCAATAGTCTGGTAAGATCAAATAAACTCAGGGCACATACTCTGATATTATTTTCCTTTTCTTAAATTTTAAAAATACTGAATACTAAAATACTAAAAGCTAATAGTTTACCTTGCAAAAAAATAGAAGGGTAGACATAATCTCACCATGTAATAGAATAACTATTTCCTTTTTACCCATATGTTCTTTGATTGGTGATGACTTTTACAACCATGACTAAAATAAGAACGACTAGGGGCGCCTGGGTGGCTTAGTGGTTAAGTGTCCGACTTTCACTTAGGTCCTGATCTCACGGTTCATGGGTTCGAGCCCCGCGTCAGGCTCTGTGCTGACTGCCAGCTCAGAGCCTGGAGCCTGTTTCAGTCTGTGACTCCCTCTCTCTCTGACCCTCCCCTGCTCACACTGTCTCTCTCTCTCTCCTAGAAATAAATAAAACATTTTTAAAAAAATTGAAAAGTAAAGAAAAGTTGAATAAAACACTCATTCCTACCACCCAAGGGCAAGCTAACATGTTAGGCATATTTCTTTTTCATTTTCTTAAATTGTTGAACTAATTTTGTACTTTATATAATTTGATAATCCTGAATTTTCACTTAGCACATTATAAGCATTTCATTTAATATGTTTCATAAATTAATGTATGAATAATATTTTATTATATGGGAATATTTAACTAACCGTTTTGCCATAGTTAGATTTATAGCATGTTTCCAATTTTCTATTATTGCAAAGCACATTTTCTGAGTTTCAAAAACATACATTTACAGGTTTATATATGTATTTTATGAGTGCATAAAAATTGAAACGTGTGTGGGGGTGGGTGCCTTTAGGTGTGGCATTGATGGGATGGGGCAAGTATTTGCACTTTTATGTTACGTGTTTTATGTCATAGATTTCTTTGCTGTTTAAATCCTTCACAGCAAGCAAGGATGACTTTTGTAATTAAATGTTTAAACAAAGGAAGGAAGGTGGAGAGGAAGGAAGGGAAGGAGAGAAGAGGGAGGGACAGGAAGGAGGGAAGGAAGGAAGAGAGGAAGAAAAGAAAGTAAATTCCAGTACCAATTCCATTTGTACAGAGCTTAGAAGATCAAGAACCATGAGAAGCAACTAAGCAAAATGCCCCTTATATTTTTGTAGAGCAAAGAATAGACCTGTAAATAAGAAAGTAGGTATATTTGGGATTTAATTTCTCTGATCAGAAAAGGAAATAGCCAACTGCAAACTACCCCAGCCCAACTTACTGATTGATTTTGGATTCTGTGGTGTTTCCAGCTCTGTCTGTCAATTTGATTGTAATGGACCCTCTTCTTATGTTCTTGTTCCAAGTTATAATGTCCACAAAGTAATGATATACTGCAAAACAGGGAGAGAGCATAGTAAGAGACAGGTACTCTCAACTGCTCCCCTGAAAGGTCAGTTCCTAAAAACCTAACCTCCCTCATAACTCGAGCTTCTTGTTCTCTTCCTGTCTAGTTTCTCTGCAAAGATCTGGGTGGAATTTTCTAATATTCCTTTCCATTCTTTTGATGAAGAGGGCCTCCATGATGGCAGAATCCAGTGGTCTCCAGTTGTCATGTTTGGGCTCACAGTTGGATTGGTGTTCCACCTTATTGACTGAGGCATCATGGCCTACTGCTGAGTATGATTGGTTAGCCATTCCCTGCCTTTTAGAATAAACCAAGCAGGTGGCCATGTAGAGGCCCTCCATGGCTGACAAAGTTGTCCGCAATCTGGGCCACGTCCACTAGCCACCATCATCTCTTCTCTGGTCATGCCACACCACCTGCGTCACCTGCACTGCCAGACTGCCTCTTGCTCCTGGGCCTTCTCCCCACTCAGACACTCGTACTTTGCCCCCTTTGCCAACTCATCCTTCAGGTTTCAGCTTAGTCACTTCCTCCAGGGGACCTTCACTGACCCTCAGACTAAGTCACGTTTCCCCCTGAGTCCTTCTCATGCTCTGGTATTCTCCCATCATTAGCATACTCACCTGTGTTTAGAAAATGCGTTAAAAAAAAGGATACTCAAAAAAGTGGTAAATATATGGGTACAGATATACAAATATTGGCTGAGTAATACAGAGTTTTAAAAAATAAAGCTAAAATATACTATAGCAGTAACTGGGAAGGATTCGTCTTTGTAATTATAGGCACCCAGTATTTCCTACTGAATAAATGAGGGTGTGTGATGTGTTCAAAGAATTATTATTCCTCCTTCCTCTTTATTTCCCAGGGTCAACGATGCTTTGAAAGATGGGGATCCCACCACGATAGCCTGATTGCTATCACTTGATCAGATTTGCAAAGAAGGGAAAGGAGGCTCAGGGAGATGTTGGTCCCACAAAGGAATAAGATCTGCCCTCGAGTTGCCATTTCATGGCCCATTATTACTCAGGGACTTGCCTCACTTGGACCAGGCGGACAGCAATCCCTGGGCTGCCACACATGGCTCCAAAGGAGGGAACCCCACTGATCTGCACCCTCTTTTATGAGATGCTCCTAAGAAAAGTGAAAAGGGGGACAAGATTGTAAGACATCCATCTGCGCAAGAAAATTCCTACTTCCCAGGGCATCTAATTATCTGCTGCCCCACTGAGCCCCCATCTGGAATACCCAAGCTCTCAATGTCTTTAGTTGGTCGTCATGGTTGCTTTGGAGCTGAAACTGACCTACAGATGTAGCTGACATCTGATTTTACCTAGCTGAAATCTCATGGCTTTTTTGGGGGGCTTTTTTTTGGCGGGGGGCTTTCTGGAAGATCTTAGTAGAATGGCCATCTAAGGGGTGAGTGGCTGGCTCAGTCAGTAGAGCATGCCATTCTTGGTCCCAGGGTCATAAATTCAAGCCCTACATGTGGCATAGAGTATACTTTAAAAACTTTTTTTTTTTAATTGAAGAAAAAAGAATAGCCATCCAATGAAGCTAATAATTATGATTTGTTGAGATTTAACCCTTATAATCCAGAGATAGGCATTATTACATAGCAGGACAATGAGACTCAGAGAGCTTATATGACTTCACCGAGATCACACAGCTATTATATGATAGAGTCAGGATTCAAACAGTCTCCCCAGCTCCAAACCCCACACTTTACTATGCCCTTCACTTGCCAAGAGGTAGCCAGGAAGCTGAGACTCGGCCATTTTTTAAAAAGGAGGAGTTTGGGGGGGTGCCTGGGTGATTCAGTCCGTTGAGTGTCAGACTCTTGGTTTCGACTCAGGTCATGATCTCACGGTTTTGTGGATTCAAGCCCCACATCAGGCTGTGTGCTGACAGCACAGAGCCTATTTGGGATTTTCTTTCTCCTTCCCTCCCTGCCCCTCCACCACTCCCACTGTCTCTGTCTCTCTCAAAATAAATAAACTTTAAAAAAAAAAAGAGTTTGGGCAAAAGCAAACAACCATATCTACCACTCACTGCAGAATGGTTTCTCCTCAGCTGTGTCAAAGAACACTTTAGTCATAGGAGGATCTTTCTGTTTTAAATACTCTTTCCAGTTATCAGCATGATAGCCTGTAAAGCAAGTTGGAAAAATGTAACATTAACATGTATTCTATAAATGTAAAAGCAGCTGGGGAGGTAGTGTGAGCGGTGAGTTTGAGCCCCCACAGCACCAAGTTAATCTCCCTCAGACCCAGCCCTGTTGGGGAGGACCTAGAGAGCCCCCAGGGGCGCCTATGCTGCATCCACCATACCTTCCTCGCTACCCTGTCCCTCAGAGCTGGGACTGGCAAAGTGACACTACAGTGGCTCTTCCTGCCTTTCTCTGACATTACATCACCCTGGTTCGCTCACATACTAGGTAGCCTAAGAATAGTGCTGACATTTTTAGTAATACATTCATTTTATAGATTAAAACAGATTCAGGTTTATACCTAAAATAGCATCATTCTTGCAAAGCATTGTGCTTTCTTGAAGAACTACAATTAGGTCCCTAAATTGCACAGAACCTGAGCTTGCTAAGTGACTATGTCAACCAGAAGGGCACTCTTCTCCTTCATGTCTGTGCCTGCAGGAATGAGGCTGAGTCACATCAGTGAGCTCTCTCTCTCTCTCTCCCCTGTCTCCACCCCTAGAGAATGGCCTTTGCATGCTGACTAATTGATCTGGAATGGAAACACTATTAGTAATTTTTAAAAACTCCCTAGAGCTTTCCAATTAATGCACAATCAAGGTTGAGAACCCCTTGTCTGTAGCATGTCCTGATGTTAAGTTGGGTTTTTCCTGTGAACAATCAGAAAATTCTCATGATGTCCAGTTTCCAGTCCCCATCAGGTGGAATATTTCTACTAACCCTTAGCAAATATCCAAGCAGACTGCACAGTATCTGTTACCCTGACCATGTGCCCATAAGAACCAGGGTGCGGTGTGAGGGTATTACAGACACGGCTTGTTGGAAGGGATCATTCTGCAAGGCTCATTTGACAGGAGAGTCAGAGCTCACTGTGACCCTTCCCCAGCAGAGAGGTTGTGTGTGCAATGAGGATGTTTCTGTTCCCATGGGAGCAAGCTCTGTAAGGTAACTATGCCCTGGGTGGGCTTGCAAACTCTTCGGAACCTTCTTTTTTATGCTAGAGTGTCCAGGGAGGTTACACTGCCCTCTAGCTGAAATCATATACAAATGGCTTTTCTAACAGGGTTTATGATTAGGACATCCAAGAGTATTTCACAGAGCAAATCGGCTAGAAAAAGCTAAGTAAATTCTTTTTTAAGCACATGATTTTCAGGCCCATTTTTAGATAGTAAAATGGTGCTAAGATTCTACCCAAAATGAACTGTTTGTTAATCAGAGGGTAAAACTGCTTGTTGGACTTACCCAGAAGGGGACAGGACTCCTTTTGTGGTATGCCACAGTTGACACACCTGCCATTCCTATAATCCCGGTAGGAGTCACAGGGATATGCAGTGATAGTACAGTTCTCTCTCAGAGAAGAAAGGTACAGGTACACGGACCTCTGATGGTCACACTTAAAATACTGAAATCCTTGATCATAAAGGGAACAATGAAAGAGTAGAGCAGTTATAGCATTTAACAATAGCGCATCACACATTATAGGCACACACAATTCATCATCTGTCTCCTATATGCCAGGCACTGTGCTAACAGCTTCAATGCATTTAATTCCATTTAGCCTTTATAAAAACCCATAGATCAGGATTCATACTGGCACGTGGTAGGTTAAAAAAAGATAGGCACGATCATCCCCATTTTACCTAGTATCACATTGAGACTCAGAAAGCTTACATGACTTGACCAAGCTCACACAGCTATTATGTGGTAGAATCAGGATTCAACCTATGTCCTTCCTTTGTCGGTGAAAAGGTCGAGAAAGATTCAAGGACAAGAAAGATTCAATGGTAGAGTTTCCCCAGAGATTTTCAGCAGAGCACATTTAAAGTAGTAAAGACATCACAGAAAGAGGCCATTGAGGAGTAATTGGTAGAGGAAGATCCCCAAGGAGGGCAGGCAGAGGAGACAGCTTTGGAAAAGAATGGGGGATGCCTCCACCCTGGGGGCAGAAGGTGACAAGAATGTAAAGATGGACCTTGTAAACTAAATGAGGATAGATAGAATGGCTCCCTCAGGAGAGATCTCTAATCTAGGTAAAAAGGCAAATCGAGATCACCTCTAAGAGGTGGGGGTTTAAAGGTAGGGAGATTTTCAGAATAGAAGTATGAGGAGTGATGATAGGGAGTTGGCAAGAGATAAACATGAGGATTCTCTGTCATTACTGATGGTCATGGAGAAGTGAGAGTTTTCCTGGACCTTGTACTCAATTAACAGAGCTCCATGACAGCTCCAGAATGTTCTCAAGCCGAGGTGGTGGCTGCCATGGCAGAGACCTAAGGGGGTCTCTAATGGGAGTACTCCCTCCCTGTGGGAGGGGCTCTGTTTCTGCTACAGGGTAAAGGGTGGGATGAGAAGGACTGAACAATAGGAGGTGGCACCAGAAGACCTGAATGGGCAAGAAGAGTTGAGAGGCAAGCCTCCAGTTAATTCCTGGTGGGTGCCAGGTGATGCAGTGGTGAGAGGGGAGGCCAGCAAGGCGTGGAGATGGCGTCAGAAGAGTTGGATTTGATCCAGCACACAACACTGAGAGGTGTTTGGAAGATTGATGGGTCAGATGGTAAAGGGGAACTGGGTCCCAAATAAGGATAATCAAAGGAGATAAGGATCTGAGAAGGAAACAGTGAACTCCTTGAGAAGAGGAGTTATGTTTATGAGCGAGTGGTTTGGAGAGGGACGGAGCTGAGTGCTAGAGTCAGCACAATGTTTCTTCTTCCCGCACAGTCCACTTATGCCCATAGAGGAGATCAGTGAAGGACAGAAGTAAACCAGGGCAAGAGAGGAGAGGCATGGGTTGACATGTGGCCAAGCCAGACTGGAACAAATCTAACAAGTCAATATTTACTTATTGTTCCTGGAACTTCCACTTGCTGAAATGTTGATGTTGATAACAGTACAGAGAATGTCCTTTATAACCAAATCACATTATCTTGGCTCTTCAGAGGTATTTACCCTACATTATACAGGACAGGATTTGAACACACACCATTTATGGTGAAATATAGTTGACCTACCTTATGGCATTTCATCTGGATCATTTTCAAACACCATGTCCTCATGGGGCCATATACAGCTACCATTATCTTTTTCTAGAATCATATCCATGATTGTTTAACTTTCTCTAGCAATGGTGAAATACAGATTGAGAGCACCTAGGGATAGGGTTGTTGTTGTTGTTTTTTTTATCAGAATAAAATACTACTATTACTTTTATGTTGCCATCTTCCCACTTTTTGTTTTGTGATTTCTTCCTTATTATAAAATAGTACATGCTTGGGGCACCTGGGTGGCTCAGTCGGTTAGGCGTCTGACTTTGGCTCATGTCATGATCACACAGTTTGTGGGTTCGAGCCCTGTGTCGGGCTCTGTGCTGACGGCTAGCTCAGAGCCTGGAGCTTGTTACTGATTCTATTTCTCCTTCTCTCTCTGACCCTCCCCTGTTCACGTTGTCTGTCTCTCCCAGAAATACATAAAACATTAAAAAAATAATAATAATACATGCTGATATAGAAAATGCAAAGTAATGGAAAATAATGATGCAAAAATCACCCAGAAGTCCGATATCCAGAGCTCACCACTAATAATTATTTGCAGCATTTATGTTTGGTCTTTTTTCTATATTTACACATGTACAAATACACATTTAAAAAAACAAATTGGGATGATACTGTATAGTTTTGTGTCTCTTTCACCTAACATCCCATGGTAAGCAGTTTCATCAATCTGAAAATAAGACTTTTTAACAATTATATTCCTTTGTGTGGGCATACCATAGTTATTTGACACTTTTCCATGTTGGATATTTTACACTTCTAAAAATTTAGCTATTATAAATAATACTTTGTGAGATATTTTTGCACTTTGATTTTTATTTATATTTTCCATTATTTCTCTAGGAGAGATTTCCAGATACAGAATTTCTAGGTCAAAGATACAACTTTGCATGAGAGAGCAATCATTCATAATAGCTTTAATCATATAGTTATGGTTACTTATTTTTTTAATTTATTTTTTAAATCAAGCTTAATTAACATACACTGTTATATTAATTTTCAGATGTACAATATAATGATTGAGCAATTATACACATTACTCAGCGCTTATCATGGTAAGTGTACTCCTAATCTCCTTCAGCTATTTCACCCATTCACCCTTCACCCCTTTCACCCATCTCACCTTTGTCTTTCTCTGACTGATTTCACTTAGTATAATGGCCTGTAGATTCATCCATGTTGTGGCAAATGATATTTGATTCATTCCTTTTTACAGCTGAGCAATATTCCATTGTGTAAATATACCACATCTTCTTTATTCATTCGTCTATCAGTGGATACTTGGGTTGCTTCTGTATCTTGGCTATTGCCAATAATTCTGTGTTGTTTTCTTTAAGTAGTATATTTGAGTAATAATTTTTCATTTTTCCTTTATATTTATACTATCTCTATCTTCTCAGATGATTTGTTTTCTATTAAAAACTATTACCCATAGAATAATATCAGATTTTTAAAATATGTCTTTTTAAAACCACTATTATGCAATATATAAAGTGTTTGTACTTACCTCCCAATATCGTTTTGGGGCAACCGGGTTGATCCAATCCTCCATTTGGGTAGAAGTCTATGTTTCCTAATGGCTCCTTGTAGCCCAGTGCTAAAGGAGAATATATTATGGTTTTATTTTTGAACTTTTCACATCGTGTAGCTCATTTGCCAGAAGGATATAGGCAGGCATTGTGTTGTTGTTCTTATACCTATTTAAGTATTTTGCTCAAAGCCACCCAACTAGTCAGTTAGGAAGAGGCATTTCCATCTAGGAGATTATGAAGACAATAGGGGAACTTTTCCCAATATTTCTCAAGATGTGAGGGAGCTTTGGTCAGCCTTTCACGGCAAGTCTGATAAAATGATATGTTTTTTTCCTTATGTTTGGCTAGAACCCTCTAATTGCCAGTGCTTCCTGGGTCTCTAATGGCATTTGTGTCAGACTTTAATGAATTAAAAAAAAAAAAAAGGAAAAAATGAAGGAAAAAAAGAGAAAGAAAACGGGAAAAATGAATTATTTTGTAACAATTTTTTTTATTTTTTAAATCTTTATTTTGAGAGAGACAGAGCACAAGTGTGGGAGGGACAGAGAGAGAGGGAGACACAGAATCTGAAACAGGTTCCCGTCTCCGAGCTGTCGGCACAGAGCCCAAACTCACTAACTGCAAAATCATGACCTGAGCTGAAGTCAGACATTTAACTGACTGAGCCACCCAGGTGCCCTAAGTAAAAAAAAATTTTTTAATTGGAAACTCTTCTAGAAAATGGGGACCAGGAAAAATATAGATTGATTTAATAATTGCTTAGTCCCGGGGCGCCTGGGTGGCTTAGTCGGTTAAGCTTCCGACTTTCACTTAGGTCATGATCTCGAGGTTCGTGGGTTCGAGCCCCGCTTCGGGCTCTGTGCTGACTGCCAGCTCAGAGCCTGGAGCCTGTTTCAGTCTGTGACTCCCTCTCTCTGACCCTCCCCTGCTCACGCTGTCTTTCTCTCTCTCTATCCTAGAAATAAAAAAAAAAAAAATTGCTTAGTCCCTTTAAACTTATAACTACAAAGTAATCAGTCAAATGCTTTATTTAAAAGATTATTTATACAAGTATATATAGTGCATCATTGCAATAATAATAATAGCTATTATATACTGAGAACCTAGGTGTGTCTAGTGAGAGGGTACTAGGTATTTTATATACCTTTCTTGTAACATTCACAATGTCCAAAAAGTGGCCATTGGTAAATTCAGATGAAGTAAGTTACAGATGAAGACATGGAGAGTCAGAGGACTTTCAGAATTAAATGACACCACTAGAAAGGACAAAACCTGGGATCTGAGTCCACTCTGCCTGGCTGCAAAGCTTATTCTCTTTCCTCAAAATTCACTTTCTCTCCAAGAATAAAAGATAAATTACTCTATTCCATCAAGCATTAAAATGGCATTGAGGTACTGCACTCATGTAAGGTAATGCTTTGCAAACTGCGCAGTAAGAATGCAGCTCTTTCCTTTAAGGCCAACAGTTGCTGAATCCCACACCAGAAAGCCCGTGATAGGTGATCAAGGGTTTTTCAGATGGTTGTATCACAGAGAGGGTATAACTATTAAAGACTTCTCTGCTCTGTCCCCTCAGCCTTCCCCAGGTTCCTGCTCTAGCTCTTGTCCTAGATATCTGGATATAAAGACTCACCTTTACATCACCCAGACCCCTATATCCTGTCCCAAATCCCAGTTACGAAATCAACACCGTAAAAGACAGAAATGGCCAGAAAGATCCAGAGAGAGCTGGAGAGCTAGAGGTGGCTCAAAATTGCTCTTCAGGGAGAGACACAGCACTTGAACATATCTTTCAGCCTAAGAAAATAATGAGAAAGACCCAACAAAACCAGAAATCACACATCCAAACCCTGCTGTGTATACAGAGACATTTGTCCACATGGTGTGCAAATCACCCTGTCTTTGAAGGGTCAAGATGATCACTTTAAAAATAAGAAAATTTTGTGGGGACAGCACCTCCACTCCAGCAAGACGTCCTGGATGCCTGCATTAAACCAGTGTCCCTTCCATATCTGGGTTGATTTGGAAGCCTGCCCTGCAGGAAAAGAGGGAATCTGGAGGAACCTGACCCAGCCCTGCATGATGATCCCCTCGGGGGAGACTCTTTAGGAGTCTGGGAGCGGGGTGCTCACTGACCCACAAGAACAGGAATGTTACCATCAATGTCGGAGTGGATGATGTCAACGAACTGTGCATCGCGGGGATCTAATCTGTCCTCTGGAGGTCTCCCATTGAATAAAGGGCCCGCAGGGTCGAGACCTGGAAAGAAAATGGAGTTGGCTTGGCAGCCCCACGCCATGAGTCACCTGCAGCCAGGCTTTTGATCCCTCCCCTGGGAATGGCAAATAGGCTGCAGGGCACCCTCGGGTGGGCAAGCATTCGCATTCCCATCCTGCTTGTCAGCCTCGTTTCTACAGCCTTGTAGCCTTTTCCCACAGAAGGGATGGTTCCCATGGCAATACCCTCTGAGAATGGCATCCAGACTCCACTAGGAGCTATATCTTGTTCAGGGCTCAATAGCAGGGAGCGCACAGACATGTGGGGACCAGGGGCATGGGATGAACTTGTTCCTCAGGAAAAAGCACCCGAAGGTGCATATAAAAAGCAGATACTATACTTATCCTTATTCCATGTTAAATGATCCAGAAACCTACTCAACCTTCCCTTCTTATTATTAATAAAACTCCTTTACAGTTTCAATTTTTATTCATATATCCTAGCTCATATGATCCACATCACAAGCCTGGTAGGGAGGCAAGGTAGCTATTATTCCCATTTTACAGATGCATGAGCTGAGGTTTGGGGAGATCAAGTTTCTTAACCAGAGCAGCAGCCTCACAATGCAACAAGCTCTCTCTACTTAGCTCTTGGTTTCATTGCACTGGGTTTGGCAAGCTCAGTGGGAAAGTATGAAACTCACTGATCAGGCCAGGTATCAAGGAGGGAAATAAAGTGGGTGTCAGTTCCTGCAGAATTAACCCGCTCCATAAATGCCTTAGCTGGTTTCTTGCCCTTGGTCAATGTTAGCTGGGCGTTCCTAACCATCAGCTGGAAAAACAAGAATGCAGTTCCTGCCATGTTGTAACCACAAGCTAACTTTAAAGCAATAACAGGAAGACACCAGAGGTGCTCAGAAGCCCTGCTTACTGGAAACCTACCTGGAGTGAAGAATATTCCAAGGGATGTCTCAAAACTTTGAACCTGTGAAAGTCTTTTTAAATGGCGTCTTCCATCCCCTGGTGTTTGATATAAAGTCCAAGAGATAGCATTCTTGCCTCAACTTCTCTGGTTCTGGCCTCAGTCTTTCCATTTCTCCTCCCCCAACACTCTTTTGCTTCCATGAGACTTGTCTTTATCTGCCTCCTTTCCTTTTCTTTCTCTTCCCCTCCCCTCTAGCTTTTCTTCTTCCTCAATTGTGTCTCAACTGAAACCAATGTGAGATGGATCAACAGGCAGACACCCAAGTCCTCAGGACCTTCTCAACACAGCATGAGAAACTCATAATCTTGGAAAGAGTTTGCTCAAGAAGTCCTTCTGGTCTAAGACAATGAACAGTCAGAGGCCCAGTTTAGAGCAGCCGCCAGATTCATAGCAGATAAATTGGCTTAGTGTGTAACATTCAAACCAGAGCAGATTTGAGAGTGCTATTGACACTCTCAATGTCAATGAGGGTGCTATTGACAATTATGTCAGGACAGAAGGCACTAAGGAGACTGGGACAGTAAGCTTGGATGTATGATCACCTTAGTGACAATTCGTAGCAAATAATCAGCTTACAATGTCGTCCAAAAATCGCACTTAAAGTGCCCCAAAAAGTGCTATATTTTGTGTGGACAGAGACCGTTGGAGTCAGAGAGATGTGACATGGGGCCCCAAACCTAACACCACCCAGCTGTGTGACCTTAGGCAGGTGACTTTTCTTCTCTGAACCTCAGTTTTTTTAATCTGCAAAATGGAGGTAGAATTAATAGCTACTTCAGTGGCCTCCGGCAGGTCCAGGGGTCCCTGAAGGATGGGCGGTGTCGGCAAGAGAGGGAGTGAGAGCCCCAAGATTCTTTCTGATCACAAGGCAGGCATCTCTGCTCTGACTGGGGCTCCACTTTATTTTATAAGTGTTTGGGGGACGGCACAGAAGTGGCATTTGCCTTAGACAATGATTTCTGATAACAAACTTCTTTGATATGTAAGAATTTCCTGGAAATCTAGAAGACTCCTGCAAAACCTTTATCAATAGTGATTGAGATGCTTATCCTATGGGGAAGAAGGTATCTTTAGCATACCAGACAAAGTTTTTAGCATAAAAAGGGTGAAGTTACTTCTTTTAAGGTGGAAGTATCAAGAATAACAGGTCTTCCAAGAAACACCTTTGCTCCGATAATGACAAAAGTAGTTCCTCAATAGGTTCCTTCACAGGGAGTTATCCGCATATTCAAGGCCAGAAAATGCTCCAAGCAGAAACAAATGGGTGGGGTTGGATATCTGCCCTTAACTCTAAATTAGGCTCTTTGTCTCAGGGCCCGACTCAGGCCCCTTTCATTACGTTTAGTCTTGGATCTGCAAGGCCTTTAGGAAGAGCCTTTTGACAATCATCCACAATGCTATCATCTGAAGTCTCTTTGGAAAAGGCAGGGATATGCTTTTCCTATGCGCAATCTGTGTGGGGAATATCGGTCTGATCTGGAATATTGTGAGGCCTGGGCAATACTAGCAGCCTCATTTCCAACATGAGCCAGTAATACCAGAAGGAGATACCAGTTTCCGTTTCTCATGGCAGGAGCTGTGCAAACGCTACCATTTCCTCACTGTGACTGTCATCCAGCGAGGTCAGTGCGGCTCCCAGCACTTCAGAAGACATATAAAAGGCCTCCTGGATCTGAATCCAGAATGTTTTGAGACTGTTATAGAATAGAAACAAAATAAGAAAAATAGAGCTCTTTCTTATTGCTCAAAGATCACCAGAAAAATGTCTAGATGGTGTTCATTGGCTTTTTTTTTTAATGTTTATTTATTTTTGAGAGAGACAGAGCATAAGTAGGCGAGGGGCAGAGAGAGAGGAAGACACAGAATCTTAACTGACTGAGCCACCCAGTTGCCCCTCAGTGGCTTTTATTACAGCATTAACCAGTTAGAGAATTTGATGAAAGCCCTACACCTCTCCCCAGGACAGACAGCTGACATTTTGCATTCAGTTTCAGGGACCTCATATTCTCATCCCCAACTTCACCATGAACTCCCTAAGACAACACTGTCCAATAATATGAGCTGCATATGTAATTTTAAGATTCCTAGAAGCCAGTTTTAAAAAGTAAATAGAATTAAGGAGAATTAACTTTTAGTTCTTAAAATTTTATTTTTTTATTTGAGAGAGAGAGAGAGCAGGTGAGCAGGGGAGAGGGGCAAAGAGAATTAAGAGAGAGAATCTTTAGCAGGCTACACGTTCAGCACAGGGCCCAACTCTGGGCTCAATCCAATGACACTGTGATCATGACCTGAGCCAAAATTTAGAGTTAAATGCTCAACCAACGAAGACACCCAGGCACCCAGAGGAGGATTAATTTTAATAATATGTTGTATCTAACCCAGCTTATTTAACCTAGCATATCTAAAATATTATCATTTCAACATGTACTTCATATACAAAAATTGAGATTTTTAATATCCTTTTCTTTTTACTTATCTTTGAAATCCAGTATGTTTCTTGCACTTACAGAATATCTCAGTTTGCATTAGCTACATTTCAAGTGCTCAGTCCTAGGAGAGAGGGCAAGATGGCGGAGAAGTAAGGAGCTCCGTACTTGCACTCGCGCCCATACATCACACAGAAAAGATCAAGTGCTCAGTCCTACATGTAGTTAGTGGCTACTATATTGGATAGCATAGCTCTATGGTCATTTCTCAAAGTATGGTGTTCTGACTATGGTCTGGTTAAAAGTAGATTCCTGGACCTCACCCCCAGAGTGCTGGTTCAGCAAGTTGGCATTGTAACCAGCACCCCTAAGGAGATTTTTTTTTTAATTTTTTGTTTATTTATTATTGAGACAGAGAGAAACATAGTATGAGTCGGGGAGGGACAGAGAAAGAGAGGGAGACACAGAATCCGAAGTAGGCTCCAAGCTCTGAGCTGTCAGCACAAAGCCCGATATGGGGCTTGAACCCACGAACTGTGAGATCATGACCTGAGCTGATGTCGGACTCTTAACCGACTGAGCCACCCAGGTGATGCAAGATTTTTATACACCCTTAAGTTTGAGAAGCAAATGTAATGTATTATCAAGTGATATATGTACTTGGAATATTTTAAAATCCACTTATGCTCTGCCATCTTGTGTTAAAGAAGCTAATGAGAAATAGGGGTGCCTGGCTGGCTCAGTCAATAGAGCATGAGTCTTACTCTCAGGCCCACGACATCAAGCCCCATGTTGCTCAGGGAACCTACTAAAATTTTTTTAAAAATACATTAAGAATTTAATGAGAAATAAACCAGGAAATGTGCCTGGAGAGAAAAAGCAAAAGGAAGGGCAGAAGAAAGAAGAGAAATGGAAGAAACAAAGCAGCTATTACAGGCCAGATAATTAACATGCAGAACATCCAATTTGGGGGAGTTGGGTATGAATTTCATCCTTAGGCAACAGGCCAAGTTCTCACTCCACAATCCAGTGAGCCCAGTCAGAAAAGGTGGTGGAAGGTGAGCAGAGAAGGGAAACGCTTCTCCCCTGTAGCCGCTCTGGAGGACAGCTGAGATTCGATTTTGGGGATCAGAAAGGATGAGGGATCAGGACATGCGGAAGTCAGGAGAGACAGAAAATTGAGCTGTGGACCATTAGCTGAGTCCGGGCCACAGAGCACGGCCACAATGGCCCAGAGTGGAAGGCAGGCTGGCTTGGGGAATTTCCAGTGTCAGAAACCAGGTCACACTGCACTCACATTCACAGTAGTCGTGGGAACAGGTTTGCTGGGAGCCAAACCTGGGGATGAAGTCAAACCAGGGTTGAGACTTAATGAGGAAGTAGTGGTGGGCTGGAGCCCTCCAAGGCCAGCACTGGAGAGCAGATTTTGCTCATCTCTTCCCAAACTTTGTGGTTATTAGTGTCAGGCTGGTAGCTTGAAATCAGCAGTGGTGAGAGTATTCAGACCATGGAGATCAGCAAATACTAAAAATCAGGACTTTTTTTCTTGAGAGCTGTTCAGGTGCTTAACACACTGTGGGAGAGTTCCACCCAGCAGAAGAAGAGTTCCCAACACATTAGGGACACAAGCAGATTCAGGCAGCCTGTCCTTTGATCCCATAAGGGAAATGAAATTCTTTAAAAGGACATGTTGGTTTCTAAAACATAAAAAAAAAAAAAAGTTAAAAATGTAAAAAAGTGCTCTGCCTCCCTAGGAAAGCTGGTAAGTAAGGTGAGGGAGGACTTGGCCTTTGAGATGAAAGTGAGAAAAAAAATCCAGAAAAAACAAAACAATGTGACCTCAAATAGCAGGGCTAGAGGAGACACCCATGATGTGTGTGTGTGTGTGTGTGTGTGTGTGTGTGTGTGTGTGTGTGTGTGTGTGAGAGAGAGAGAGAGAGACAGACAGACAGACAGACAGACAGACAGAAAGAATGACTTGCCCAGGGCTACCAGTCAGGTAGCACATTCAGAGACAGTGTCCCTAAAAGATTACCTTACAAGTATAGTTGGTTTGAATCTCTTCTTCCTCATTCACTTCTACTCTCCAGATTTCCTAGATTGAAAATAGCTCTTTCTGTAGGAGGATGGATTCTGGGAAGGGTATGTATGATTGGGGGGAGAAGCCCGAGTCTCTGAAACAGAAAGCCTCCCTCACCCCATCCTCTGTAGCTATGGAAAGTTATCAGAGCAGTAGGCAAGAGAAACCAGCAAGGGAACCTTTGTTTGGGGTTTCATCTGCTGTGTTTCTGAATTTTCATTCAGCTTTGTCCCAAAAGCTGATATTCAGAGAGTAAACCCCACTACCAAAATCCCTATCTCATTTTCCCATCACGAGACTCCAGCTGTGCCTGGAATGGAAATGTATTAAGTATGTAGTTAAGGCTATCCTAGATTAATGAAAGGAAGATGGCTATCTGTTTGAACGGCACAGATCAAATCCCCATGGGACATAGCTGTTATTCCTAACCATAACAGAAATAAAGTTACCACCAATCTTTTCTGTGGCATATACAATGTATCAAGTGCTTTGCACATATTTTATTAAATAATAACCTGAGGTCAGTATTATCATGGTCTCTCCTTTGCACAAGGGGACACACACTCAGAGAGGTGGAAGAGCTGGCTTTGAACCCAAGGACTTGGATTGTCTGTATCATGATCTCCCCGTGAACACTCTGCCCAGGCCAACTACCTCATGCCTATTCACAGGATGCCTTACCTGTAATTCTCCCCAGCTTCCCATTGTACATCTTTCCAACGAACCCGGATATGTGGGCTCCTAGACTTACTCCAATCATATAAATGTTGTCAAGAGAAGCTCCTTCTACCTGGAATGTCAAGAGGCCCATCATTATAAATTGTGAGGGGTGATGGAGTTGACAACATTTGGAGAAACTTCCTAAACCTGACTTTGCAAACAGTTCTTCTTGAAACATTTCAAAGCAACTTATTTCTATGAGCTCATTTAAATGTCACAACAACAAAGTGAACACTATTCTTTGATTATACAGATGAAGAAACTGAGGCCCAGAGTCAAAGTAACCTGCCCAATATCAGGCAGTTTTGGGGCAGAACAGGAATCAAACCAGTCTGTTCAACTCCAAGCCTGTGCCTTAACCTTTATGACATGGTGTCTCTGTTCAACTCCAAGCCTGTGCCTTAACCTTTATGACATGGTGTCTCTGTTCAACTCCAAGCCTGTGCCTTAACCTTTATGACATGTTGTCTCTATTCATGCTTCTGCTAGAAACTAAGCCAACACATCTTTAAATCTCTCCCAGTTGAGGAGAAGGGCAAAGAAACATTTTGATGAACTCCTTTATCTTCAGGCTGGTTCAGTTAATGAAGTCACCATGGAAAGAGAAGGAAGGAAGGAAAGGAAGGGGTGGTACGGGGGGAAACACTGGCCACCATCTGCTGGGACAGCCTGTCCTGAGTCATTTTAATATTCACTTTCCTAGAGCTGTGGCTTAAGTGGAAAGCTTTGTGAAACTTCTGCTGCCTCTGGCCGCAGTGACCACAGGGCCTAATTCTCTCTGAAACAGTCAATAAAGTCACTTTATTGTTGCTGTTTTTTGTAAAGGGGGCAATTCATGAGATAGATCACTAAATAAAATTCAAGATCTATTTAATCTTTGTGAGTCTTCTAAAAACGTAAATCATATACACACAAAAATCTCTCATTAGACCATGTGCATCGGTTTTGGTTTTTGATAATCTGGTGACTAAACCTTAGGCATTTCTAGGAAAAGGTATAGCTATAGAAGATGAGGAAACTCTATACAGTGAAGCCAGAAAACCCCTAGACAAAACCTCTCTGACCCATAAGACATTTTTATGTGAATTATAAAAAGATGTCCCTTCCTGAGGAAGGAAAAATATCATAATAAATATATAGATCTGCTATGCGTACAATGACAATGGTGCTCCCTTAGGTGTGCAGTGCACAACTTGCACAATCATACATATCGGCCTTCTCTCGAGGCATTCCCTCTACCTTCCCTGGGGCTTATTCAGGTTTTCAATATAGTCCCTCTGTTCACTGCAGATGTCTCTTGGTTTTAAATCTCCAGTTAATGGGCCAGTTTCATTTGCTCCTGAATCATTTAAGAGAATTCTCTCTTACCAACATTTGGTCGATAAATTTCTTCAACACTTCTGCTACTTTTCTGGTCTTACTAGAAGCGTGGTTGTATATTACAGTTGTGGCTCCTCGATTCCAATCAACAACAATCACATTCATGTCTTCTACAGAGAGCAAACTCTGTACTAAGTCCTCCATCCAAACTGGAGGGGAGCCTGTAGGTCTGAATCCATGGATAATAAAGGTCGTTTTCTTGGTCACGTTCAAGTTCCCAAAAACTGTGGAGTTGATGACTTGTGCACAGGACAGGTTTTTTCTTGTGTAGAGCATCAACTTCACATTTAGCCCTGTACCAACCACTGCACTGTGAAAGCTCAGTCTGGTGAATGAAGGACATGTTTCATCTGTGTCTGAAAATAAAAATTAGATGGCATCATGACCAGTTTTTCCTTAGTTGGGCATCAAGCAAGAATACTGCCCTACATTCCCTGGAGTTCTTTCTGTGCTTTACAGCATCCAGCAGAAGGCTGGATGTAGTTGAATGAAGTTGCAAAGTTATACGTTTTCAGCATATACGTAGTGACTTCTTCTTCAGCAGGAAAACCATTTTTCCAAATCTTACTCTCTTCCAAGGTCTAATCCAAAAGTCACCCCAATGAAGCCTACTCCAACTCTCTCAGGCCTAATACTGTTTTTCATCCCAGAACTCCCCAGAACCCTGTGTATGCCTCACTCACAGCAGAATGAAAACACGTTCAGTGGTGTATTATGGGTATTTATGTACATGTGTGTCTATCTTGCGGGACCACTTCCTTGGAATGGCGTCTTGTAATCTGCATATCCCTCACAGTGCCCAGCACATAGTACAGGTAACTGCACCTGCATGGTCCAAGCACCTCTTTCCTCGTCTAGAGCACCTGCCTGGGACAATGGTGGAGAACATGATGCCCCTTGCCCTGACCCTTTCAGTAGCATCTGAAACAGTTGAACCATGGCCCCTTCTTGCAGCCTATCTTTCTCTGTTCCTCAAGCACCATCTTCAAGTATTCATCCTGCTTAGAGTAAGCTCTAAGGATGGCTTTTGGAGAAAGGTTGGAGATGAGGTGGAGAAAAGCAAAAGATGAGACCAGAGCATCTTGTCATAGCAGAAAGTAAGAAAGTGTTTAAAAACATGTCACAAGGACATAGAGAGCCAGCTTGAAGGGGCTTCTGCTGGCCAGATCTGGGATAATTTGAACATAAAATAATTAAGGACAGTAATGAACTACAGACCTTTAGGGAAAACCAGGGATCCACGATTCCGTAACAAGCAAAGAAACAAATAAATGGAAGAGAGAGAAGGACTCTTATGGTATAGTGTTGAATGTCAGCTGGTAAATGTGAAGTGAACGCTGGGGTTGAAACTCATCATTTTGCAGCCGCCGTAATAAGTTGGTTATGCAAGAACTAAACTGAGGAGGTGGTTATTTTGAGAAGGAGCACATGTGTATTGTCTTGCACTTCCTCCCACAGACTGCTAATTAGTAAGTAGGGGGAAAGTAGTAACTGTGCAATGGAGAAATGGAACAACACCTTGACTAGTTTATCAAACTGAACATTACCAATGAGGGGCGGATGGACACATGTGCCTCTTGCTGTAGTATTCCAGTGGGAATTGTATTAATCTGAACCTGGCCATGGGGGACAACCAGACAAACACAAAATGAGGAATATTTTATTAAAAAAAAAAAAAAAAAGGACAGGGCTGGGTGTGATGTAGGTGTGGCCAGGCTGGCAGGGAAGGGGTTTATGGCGCACACACGCACACACACAATTAAAAATTAAAAATAAAAAGGACCTGTATTCTTAAAAACGATCAATGTCATAAATGACAAACAAAGGCTGTGGAAATGCTCTAGATTAAAGGAAATTGAAGAGGCAGGATAAATAAATGAATATCTGATCTTAGATTAGATCCTGTAATGGAAAAAAAATGCTCTACAAGAAATTATTGGGTCAGTTGACAAAATGGGGATATGCACACTACATTAGATAAAATTATGGTATTGGCATTATATTGAGGTTGATAACTACACAGTGGTTTTGTAGGAGAAAGTCTGACTTCTTGGGAAATACAACTAAAGTGTTTATAACTAAATGACCAACTTATTCTCAAGTGGTTCAGAAAAAAAATTAGGGGCAAAGAGAGAGACAATAAATGATAAATCATTGGTAGCAAAATGTTAGCAGTAGGTGAGTCCATATAAGGGATTGTTGGTGTTCTGTGTATTTTTTTTTTTTTTATATATAAATTCTTGTAGCTTTTCTGTAAGTTTAAAATTATTTCCAGGGCGCCTGGGTGGCTCAGTCAGTGGAGCATCTGACTTTAGCTCAGGTCATAATCTCACAGTCTGTGAGTTTGAGCCCCACATCAGGCTCTGTGCTGACAGCTCAGAGCCTGGAGCCTGCTTCAGATTCTGTGTCTTAGTCTCTCTCTCTGCCCTTATCCAACTTGCACACTGTCTCTGTCTCTCTCTATATATAAAATAAATAAACTTAAAATAAATAAATAAATAAATAAATAAAAATAAAATTATTTCCAAAGAAAAGGCTTAAATAAAAGGAAAAAAGAAAGGGCAAGGGCAGTATCAGTAGCACACAAAATAGGAAGGAGGTTGAGAGTTCTGCTATCAGAAAATGAAAGTAGGTAAGAATGCTCAGGACTTGTGCTTGAAAGGGAACAAGAAGTTGGAAATAAACTAAAGACCAAGATGCCACATGAAAAAGGAGTTGGGAAGGAAGGAGGGCCTTGGGGTCCTTGGGTACTGAAATAAAGTATCACTTTTGTAACATTACACAAGGCCTTGATCAAGAATCCCAATCAAATCAAAGCTCAAAGTAAACCTCTGATCAACATTGGCATGCAGACTCAACAATAGGATGCTTGAGAAAACTGTGGGGTTCTTTTTTTTTTTTTTCTGACAGAGAGAGACAGCATGAACAGGGGAGGGTCAGAGAAAGAGGGAGTCACAGACTGAAACAGGCTCCAGGCTCTGAGCTGGCAGTCAGCACAGAGCCCGACGCGGGGCTCGAACCCACGAACCGCGAGATCATGACCTAAGCGAAAGTCGGACGCTTAACCGACTAGGCCACGCAGGCGCCCCATGTGGGGTTCTTTTAATTACAAAAACTATTTAGAACTGTTAGGACCCACTCTCCTATGTCCTATTTGGTTGAGAGAGAAGAGCCAAGGAGGAGATGAAGTGGAGCAAGAAACAGGTGCAAGCTGGAGATGGTCCTTTAGCTATTCAGGAGTGGGGCAAGGTCCTGCAGATAACCATTCTTCGTGGACTATTCTTTGTGGGAGGGCATAGAAGGAGACTATTGACTTGCAGCTGGCCAAAGGAGACAAAAGCACCTTGGGAAATACCTGCTGTGTCTTCCTCCAGTAGAAATTTAAGAACCGTTTGCCGTGGGCCCTTATTCTCAGTATATCTATACTTGCACACCCAGGAACTGCACTTCCCTCATTCTGAGCCTCAGAACAGACTTTGTCCGGGGCGCCTGGGTGGCTTAGTCGGTTAAGCGTCCGACTTTCGCTTAGGTCATGATCTCGCGGTTCGTGGGTTCGAGCCCCGCTTCGGGCTCTGTGCTGACTGCCAGCTCAGAGCCTGGAGCCTGTTTCAGTCTGTGACTCCCTCTCTCTCTGACCCTCCCCTGCTCACGCTCTCTCTCTCTCTCCTAGAAATAAATAAAACTTTAAAAGAAAAAAAAAAGAACAGACTTTGTCCTAGCATCTCTTTCTTTTTTCTTTAATGTTTACTTATTTTTGAGTGAGTGAGGGAGAGAGAGAGAGAGAGAATGAATGGGAAAGGGGCAGAGAGAGAGATGCACACAGAATCTGAAGCAGGCTTCAGGCTCTCAGCTGTCAGCACAGAGCCTGACACAGGGCTCGAACTCACAAACTGTGAGATCATGACCTGAGCTGAAGTGGGACACTTAATTGACTGAGCCACCCAGGTGCCCCTCTATGCTTTCTTAATAACCTGGGTCCATTCATGTATGCTTTTTTTTTTTTTTTTAATGTTTATTTGCTTTTGAGAGAGACAGAGCGTGAGCAGGGGAGGCGCAGAATCTGGAGAGAGAGGGAGACACAGAATCTGAAGCAGGCTCCAGGCTCTGAACTGTCAGCACAGAGCCCAACATGGGGCTCGAACTCGGGAACCATAAGATCATGACCTGAGCCAAAGTCAGACGCTTAACCAACTGAGCCACTCAGGCGCCCCTTTGTATCCTTTTATTTGAAACTTCTTGCAGAGAAGAATACCCATACCCAGCAATGAATGAAGTACCAAAATAGAAGAAGCAGAAGAAGCTCATACAGAAGGTTAAAAATTGAGGCTTTGAAATCCCTGACCCTAGAAAATACTGGTTAAAAATTGAGCCCCAAACTCACATATTCCTCCTTTTGCTCTACACTGTCAAGTAGTGTATACAGTGAGGCATGCTTACAATTGTCTGTCCTCCCCTCTCCCACAACTTAATTGAGATAAAATCGACAAATACTGTTAAGTTTAAAGTGTAAAATAAGATCATTTGATATATGTGTATACTGTAAAGTGATTTCCACAATAAGGTTAATGCACCCACATAGTTACATATTTTTGTGTACGTGGCAAGAACATTTTAGATCTATTCTCTTAGGAAAGTTCAAGTACACAGTATGGTATAATTAACTACAGTCACTGTGTTGTGCACTAAATGCCAGAACTTACTCATCTATGTAAATATTTTCTCCATCTCTTGACGCCTTTCATTTTTCTCTTCCTGTACATTGCATACTCCTGGAGATCATGGGCTGAGACTTGTCTGGTGCTTGTAGAGCAAGACCCAGAGCAAATAATTGACTGTTTAATTAGTCATGTTACTAAATAGGAGGTGCCATGAGGTAGGGCTGAGCCTCTTGGTCTTAGCCATCAGTAAAACTGAACCTTGTTCTTCCTTGTGTAACTGATTCACCAGGTGACCTGGGGAAATCATGCCATCTTTCACTTGTGCCAGAAAGGAATGCTTGGAGATTAATTACAAATGAGGTCATACTAGGGAAGGGAGAGATCCCCTTCCAAAGTAGGGGACTTTTTATTTGCTAGGTCTGAGCAATATTAGGCCAGTGTGTCAGGAGCCACATATCTGAGTCATTGGAAGGCTCATATAAGATTCAATTAACTATTTGTAAAAAAAAAAAAAAGGAAGGCTCATATAAGAGTCATAAAATTTGGGCCAGAGCTACTTCTCAGCACATCTGCCACACCTTTCCTGTCTATGGAGTAGCTCGGCAAACCTGATTTGCTGAGCCTTTACCAGACCCCTTACAATGGACAGTTACTGAAAGGCAAGAAGGGCAGAACAAGTAGATTTTTTTATAAATCTA